ATAGTTTTTTTTTCGTATTTTTCATGTTCTTTATTTGCATATAAATGATAAAAGCAATACAAAGTAAAGAACATAATAAGAGTGTGATGGGGAAGGCAACAGCCTTCTCAACCCAACTAGCCAGTGGCTATTACAAAGGGCTGGCCCTGCTGACAAGACATGACAAGCCAAACCAATAAAATAAAATAAAATAAAATAAAATGAAGACAGAGACCAATTTGGCCTATCCGAAAACAAGCGAGCAAGTAATCCTAGGCCCAGATCTAAACCCAACCCTATAACTTTATCCTAAAGGTAACCATTACTCTAAGCCTGTAACCCCTTGCCCTCGCCCTAACTCCAGACAATGCACTACCCCACAGAGGAAAAATCCAGCGGGAGCAGAAATTTGGCTCGACACCGGCGGCCGTTGTGCGCTCTGAGAGAAAGAGAAGAGATAGCCTCCATAGCATGCTAAAAACTGGGGGTTTTGGGGGTCTTCAGGTCTTTGGGAGCTTTTATGTGCTATTTTCCGATTGCACATAGACAACATAGCCGGCCTGGTTGTACTCCCCCCGTTTGGGCTAATAAGAAAACAGCCGAAGACCACCAAACCCCCAGTTCTATACAGCCTGCTACGGAGGCTAAACAGAAAACAGCCGAAGACCACCAAACCCCCAGTTCTATAAGCCTGCTACGGAGGCTAAGAAAGAGATTGGTTTCCGTTATGAGCGGGTCGTAGGTTTACAATCCCGGCGTTATAGGACTTTATGGGCGGGGGAAGCTGTTCTATGAAATTGAACCTCGTCTTTTCGATTTAGCCTTCCGGGTTATGGCGCTCTTTTCACGTCTGCTCCCGCGAGTCCCACGGCGCCCTGTTTTGAACCCCAAGTTTTTTATGCTCACCATTTTCTGTTTCATATGGGTTGACAGTTCTGAATCTGAATACTGAATCTCAATCACAGTTTTTTGTCTAATGCATGGGTTGACAGTTACGTTTAATTCATCGTTAAACTTAAACACTCTCTTATACTGAAATGTAAAACGTTTTAATGAATGAAGACCTTTATTGTACATTTGTGTTCTACAGAACTAAGTACAGGTCGCATGGGTACAGAACATGAACATAAACATATATACATTACATACATATGAACATATACTAAATAAATGTCTAATTTCTATTATTTTCGGCTTCATCTCGCTTAGTAGTGATCATGGAATAAAGGTTCTGACAATCATTCATTATACTGTTTTTCAGCATTTTCCCACTGTAGACCCCACCAGGCCTTCAAAGCTGATTATGGATAGCAGAATTCAGCGGTAATAGAGTAAATGATTTGTCAACAGAGTGCACACTCGGTAAGGGTAATATTTCCCTTTGAGTCTCAGTTGCCAAATGGACTCAATAGTAGACAAACTAGCTACACTGGCAAATTATTCCTATTGTTTCAGCTCGCGAATGGTGGAGACTGCATTTTCCGCGCTCTTGGCACACACTGCACCTTATTAATGTACGGCTATGGTAAAATGTGAAAAATGTGTCCTGAAAGTTGAAATCATTACTGTACAGCCCGCGTATCATAATATGTTTACCTGATTCCTACCTGAGCTTCTCAGAATAATCGGTAGGCGTCGCTGCTATCCGTGTAGACGATGCATCAGTGACGTCATCGCTATGGAAAGTTCCATACATACATGTACAAAGCTCAAGATACTACTACTAGTCATGCTGTATTAAGGGTAATGTCAAGATAGGCCATTCTAGACCACAACAACTCACCTCAAACAGTGTTCAGATATGCCAGGTGTCCGGAAAGCCAAATTTAAACAGTTTCTGACGAGTACTGTATGATGGTCCAACTTTCAAACAATGCCGCCATTTTGAAAATGATGGTTCAGGGACTGACCACTGCAGAATGGGGGTGCCCAACGACGTGTACAATTTTGCTGTTTTTTAAATGCCAAATCCGCAGGTCAAAATCGAAAAAAAATCTCTGGTCGCTAACATTTGGGCGGGAGAGAAACACTCTCAGAACCACATAGATACAAGTCAAGTCAATCTTTATTGCACAACAATTCTAACAGGTACTAAGGGTGTGTCTCGACCCCAGTTTGTTTGCCACACAGGCCTTTGCCCTAGCCTAGTGCCAGACCCATATCACACTAAGCCCAGAGTTATTAGCCAGCGTGCTGGGAGAGAAGGGCACACTTCTGGTGCCTTAGACTTAGAGATCTGAGAGCCACAGCGGACTGTGTCTCCAGGCGACTGGGGTCTGGCACCCAGGCTAGCGACAGGACGGTCGACAGGAGTGAGAGGTTTTCCCGTACAGTGTGCGCCGCGAGGACAGTCTGTTCTATCGGAGGCTGCGGCGGGATGAACCGCCCACACACAGCCGGGGGTACCTCCACTCCTGACACGGGTTTTGGAGCTGACCTGGTGGCCACTGTTTGGCGTTTTCGTACCTTTCCCTGTGCATACTCGGGTCTTAAATTGTAGTTTTGCCCTTGGCAAGTGTCCAGACCCCGATCTACCCTAAGTAAACTGTCCTAATTTCTAGACACAGCAGTCGAACCCACGAGACCACACCAGACGATATGTCCACACACTGCTTTTCCAGCTATATGCCACAAGTCGATAGCGTACTGCTGCTCACAAACATATCCACATCCCAACTTAATTAAATGTGAAATATAAGCTATCCACCTTACCAGACTCAGACTCAACCGCAGTCAGTTAAACTTTCACCTGTTCCAACATCAATGTGAGCCCAGTCCTGCGTGCAAATGTGGTCATTCCAACGAAACAGCTGTACACTACTTCCTACACTGCCCACTGTACACTGACGAACGTATTGACATGTTATTATCTCTAACTAACATTCTGCCATTTGACACAAACAACGTCAGCGACAACACTTTATGTTCAACCATTCTCAGGGGTAACCCCTCATTGTCGTTTGTCAACAACTGAAAAATATTCGATGTGGTTTTCAACTTTATTTTGCAGACAGGACGTTTTGTTTGATTTAGTTGATTCATTTTATACACCAGCTCATTATGTACCCTTGTCATTTCTTCTTCTTCTTATTATTATTATTACTTTGTTTTATTGTTTCCGTTTATGTGTGAGGAGAGGGCTGAGATAAGTTTTATAACTTTTTGTCTCATCCTCGGAAAATAAATGTGAATAAAATAAATAAATATAAGCTTGAAAGACTAGTTTATCAGAATCATTTAAAACTGGATTATTGTGAAGAGGCCAATCTATGATATATTGATGAATACGTGTTTGTATATTTCAGTAGGAGTATGCATTTGCTGATCTACGACATTTAACTGTGCAGAACTGCCCGTGTGCCAGGAGTGCCCGAGGTATCACGTTACGCTGTGTACCGACTCTGCCGGCTGCCCGCTCGGACATATATGGATTTGTGGGTCGGCTGTGCGGATTTATATTTGGAACGGAATCCTGATAGTCTTACATATAAATGATAGGGAATGGTAGGGGGGGGGGGCTTGATCGCACAATAAGGTCTAGCTAACAAAGCTTAGAACATTTACCATTATAACAGGGCATTACAATATAATTATACAAGAGATATTATTGCAAATGTTGGCTTAAGGCCCAGTCACAATCGTCGTAAGATTGTCGTAGGGTCGTTGTACGATCATTGTGCGATCCTTGTACGATCGTAAAATCACAAGAGTAAGGGCATTCTTTGGATAGCCGTGCCTGTGTCCTGCAAAATTCAGCTGTCCTGTTGGCAAAAAGGCTACCCTGAGTGTCAGCTTACCGGTAGCGGATCGTGGGGAGCGGAAGAAAGCTAAAAAGACTGGTACTCATAGCCTCTACCGGGCTTCGGCCGAGGCGGCAAACTGTTCTCTCCAGCAGACCAACTCCCTTGGCATGCTATCTCTCTATTTGGCCGATTTCTACTGTTTCCAGCCAGTCGCCTTCCGAAGCCTGGTAGAGGCTAGGCACTCAGGCTAGTGAAAGGCTGCCTTAGAGCCCCGCTGGTGGTTGGTCCTGCCACAGCCTGCTTGAAAAATCTACGGCATATGCATCAAAATCGCACCACGACCAAACGACGAATGTAACCGTGCCTCGCCGCCGACGCTTCCGACCAATCATGAATCAAATCTTCCCGCCAGACGTAAAAGGACCTGGCGTAAAATTTCCGAGAAGAGCGCACATTCTTGTCGACGGCGCTGGTCTTATAAGGAAGTGGCCTATATTTAGCGGACTGGCGGAATAATCTGTACATTATCCGGCCGTTTAATTCATTGGAGACCTTCGCGAGGCAATGAGAGATCGGCAGTAAGCGGTTTCTATTTCCGAAACTGCCTGCCGGGAGCTTGGCTGATGGAAGCTATGATAAGTTATGTCAGAAAATATATCTGCAACGTAAACAATCGTCATACATGAGCAAATACAGATCTTATTGTGGCAATGGTCCAGTTTGAAATGTGAAGAGTCAAACAGTGTGCATCACAATTTCAGAACGTTATAGAGGCAACACAAATGAACAGTTTGATTATACATCATTAATGGATATGACTTAATTTATCAATTAGACACAGATCAACACATACATGCCGCCATCATTAGAAGCAAAGACAGTTACTCACACACTTTTTGTAAAACACCATTTCCGCTTCAATAAATGACCCAGAAATGAATATTCGTTCACATCACAATTGTCCACCAGCATACACGTGCGTGATGGCAAAAAACAATGATGACGTCCTCAGTCAAAATCTATCCTGCCGTAATACAACTCAAAAGAAATAGAATTATACATATTTTATTACAAACTGTGCAAATATTTCCATTTATCAAACGAGTTGAATATAGTTGCGATTTAAAGACTTTCTGTCCTAAGATCGTTATCGCACCTGCCCTTCGAAATCTATCCCAGAAGGCAATTCATCTTCCTTTCTCTTGACCAATCAGCGAGCGCGCTATAGAAATCGACCAAGGGTCGCCCAGAGTCAAGTGCATGTCATTATCCCTAAGACTCGCCACTTATAAAAGCCGCCGTCACTTGCCCCACTCTTCCGACAGCTTTTGACCAAAAGGTAGACCAAACATCCTTATCGTTTCTTCTTAGCGGGATTATTCCAGTAAACTGGCGCTAGCTTTCCGTAGTTGCATGAAGTATACGTATGGGTAAAGTTTATACATGCATGTGGCTACTAGAGAGACTGTGCGTTACGTTTGCAAAGCTTGGGTAAAATTGAGTACTTTTATGCATGGCTTTCTGTTAAGGAATGGGGAAGAAGTGTTTATGAGAGGCCAGGCAGAAGTTAAGAAAGTCTGCGACTGCTCAGTAATTGTAAGGATTAAAATGGCATTCCCTTACTTGCCGTCCAGGGTATGATAAGATCAGTGGCGTGTTTAAGAAAAGAAGGAAGGAAGTGGATGTCTTAGACCCTCTGACCGGTTTCTTGCAGGGCCAGAGCTGTAGCTGATCGGACTCATCTTCTGTCTCTCCCGTTCAGCCCAGTCGGCGTGCCACTCCTTCCTTCTCTACGGTAGCCAAGAGGAACCCGAGCAGCCAAGATGCCGCCCAAGCAGGATAAGATATCCGACGACCCTAAGGTCTACATCTACGGCGACACCAAGCTGATGAACGAGCTTCGCGCCTCGCCGTACGACCCCAAGAAGAACGTCTGGGCTCCCGACGAAAAGGAGGTGTACATCGCTGTGGAGATCAAGGAGGAAAAGGGCGACAAGTGCACGGTCCAGCTGCAGAAAGGCTCGGTAAGTACCGGTCCCGTATGTCGTACGATCGACCTACGATCGCGTACGACAATCTACGATCGTGACCCGACTTAGGGTAGTCGTATAGGCGTCCTGAAAAATTCAGCTCTAATGTTAGGGGAAAATCTGTTTTATAGCATTAACAAAGGACTAGAAACAGCGGTAACATGTTTGTCTAAATAGTACTAAAGACTTGGTTCTAAATCTATAGTTTGGCAGTAAATAACTGGGTATCAGATGTGTGGAGTTTGACTTACATGGTCTTGAATTTCTGTATAACTTTAAGGTTAGGTAAGTGGCCGATTAAACATAAGTCTATACTAAATGAGACCGCTGAAGAATATTCACGTATCTCACATCTAGTCTTATTTAAAGTCAGAAACCGGAATTATATCAGAAACGTAATAATGTTGACGACTATTAAACTTTCAAGTATGAAAATATTTTAGTATGTCTTCATCAAAGAAAATTGTGCAGATACTTAAACCGTCCGAGGCGACTGGCTCTGACTACGATCGTATCATTTTCGCCACGGTAGCAAATGTTGGAATAACAAGGAGGTCAAAATAGCCGAGTCTGGCCCAAGGGGGCGGAACTATTTGCCGAGGGGATTACAGAGTTGGTCCTTAGACAGCTGGGCTAGGGGACCGCTCATTAATTGTCTGTTAAAAGGTTTGGACTTAATACGTTTAAAATAAAGACAGCAGGGACTACAGCTGGGCTAGGGGACCGTCCATAGTCTGTTTAAGGGTTTTGGCATTTTTTGCGCTTAATAAGTTTAAAATAAAGACAGCATGGATACAGCTGGGATAGGGGACCGTTCATTAATTGTGAAAGTTTTGAGCTTAATAAGTTTAAGTTAAAGACAATAGGGACTACTTCTGGACTAGGGGACCGTCCATTGTCTGTTAAAGGGGTTTGCGCTTAATAAGTTTAAAATAAAGACAACAGGGGCTACATCTGAGTTAGGGGACCGTCCATTATCTGTTAAAGGGGTTTGCGCTTAATAAGTTTAAAATAAAGACAACAGGGGCTACATCTGGGCTAGGGGACTGTTCATTGTCTTTTAAACAGGTTAAAATAAAGATATTACCCTAATTTGGATTCATATAATGTTTTTTCTTTGTACGTCGAGTCTACAACTATCTTGTAATATATAGACTTTATAGCCGTTTCTGTAGGATTACGAAGAAGGCAAGGAATTCTCACTGCAATCTCAATATCAAATTTAACCCAAAGTTTAACCACAGCTGTCAAATGCCACGTAACAAAATGTTTCTGAATATAATTTGAAAAAAATGGTTATTGTTGGCTTTTCCCTATCGCCTGTTTGTGTTCTCACTAGTTACATTTTCAGACATATGTCTCGGTTTCGGTCAACTCGTATGACTTTTTAGGATAGTTTCTGTTGCAAGAACGTTAACTAGTATTTAACTATTTCCCCCCTTCTGTTGCCACTGTCCTGCAGACTAAGGAGGTTGCCAAGGACAAGTTGGTAATGATGAACCCTCCGAAATTCATCTGCTGCGAGGACATGGCCAACATGACCTACCTGAACGACGCCTCTGTGCTGGCGACCCTCAGGGACCGTTATGCTAATGGAATGATCTACGTAAGTTGTAACAAAGAACACCACCCCTCCCCCCACTTCATTTGGCACAGGCTGAACTACAAGCACATATCAGAGGCAGATATCTCTAAGTTACCAACTAAGGAGTCCAGGACACAAAAATTAATCGGAGTCTAGATACACTGGCCGTAAAGTCCTATAGCTAGCGAGTTCAAACATTTAGTCGTATGACGTACACTCATGGTCTGATACATGGCATGTTACAGGCTGTCGTCAATGGGAGGGGTGTCCTAGTTGTTAAAAGCTGCCGATTCTACAAAGCTGCAATAAAAATGTGGTCTTCTTTATCCTACCAGATCCCTGAAATGAAATAGTATTTCATACACACAGAACAAAAGGTCAGATACGAGACCAAAAGCAAGTCTGTGTACCCTGTCCTGCAATGTTGAACGCCAAACCGCCCCATATGTACATATGTTACTCGGGGTTAAGCGTTATCAACTTGACAGGAAGATTCTGGCATGACGACCCTCTGGGGAGGAGACAGCACATATCTGCAGTATTTGGTCATAAGGAGACAGGGGGCTGGCCCAAGACATCTACAAACATGATAAGAATGTGATGGAGAATGTTGGCCTCCGGGGCCGAGCTATATTTTAGTTGATGGGTGTGCTCTGATGGCTGCTGAAGGATATGTATGGGGGGG